GGATGGACATGGTCAGCAACAATCCTTAGAAAGTGTGTGACATTGACACAATGCTCAATTGGTACTAATGGCCCAAAGTGTGCCAAAAAGACCATTACACCACTACCACCAGTCTGAACCATTGATAGAAGGTAGGATGGAACCATACTTTAATTATGTTGACTCCAAATTCTGACCCTTCAGTGAGCCTGTGTGATTGTAACCTCAGTTTCATCTTCGCTGACAGGAGTGGCATCCTGTGTAATGTTCTGCTGCTGTAGCAAACCTAAATTGTAACGAGTGGTTATTTTAGCTACTACCTTACTTTCTAACAGCTCGAACCAGTCTAGCCTTTGTTCTCTGTCTTCAAGGCATTTGCTCCCACATAACTCCTGCTAACTCTATATTTTCTCTCTTTTTGACCATTGTCTGTAAACCCTAGAGAGTGTTGTGGGTGACAACTGCAGTAGATCAGCAGTTTCTGAAGTACTCAGACCAGACCCATCTGGTACCAACAACTATGCAACGCTCAGTTACTTAAATCACCTCTCTTTCCCATTCTGATGCTTGGTTTGAACTGCAGTAGATTGTCTTGTCTACATACCTAAATGCATTGAATTGCAGCCAAGTAATTGGCTGATAATTAATGTTTGTCAACAAGCAGTTGGGCAGGTGTCAAGTAGACAGTTAATCTATTATGACAATATACTGTAAGTTGTTTAAGTTCTTTTGGAAGTGCTTGATAGTGGCCTTTGGAGTGTAGAACTGTTTAAACAAGTATGGTGAGTCATCTAATGGGAACCCTCTTTCCTCAAAGTTTCCTTACCATTTCCAGAAGTCTAAATGATATTATCCCGCATTCTAGGTTCACCTCTCTCCATACCATACCCTGTAACATCTTGATGGACTACTTCTACCCAAGCTTCTTGCTGAATTGGGCCAAAGCCTGAGTACACATCATCTGTCTCTACTTTGGGCATACAGCTGGAAACTAAAGAGCCAGTTTATTTTTTTTTACCCATTTTTTTTATTCAGAAGCACATGATATGAACCATTTGCCCCTATTTTGCTCAACAAATTGGTAGTGGTTGTTTTTTTTCACACAATCTTACTCTGTGTTGTTAACTCCCCAATGTCTACCCGCTTTGTTGTTTGAGACCAAAAGTCCATGTCTGGTCAGAAAGTTATACCCAGTATCTCTGAAGGAATCACAAGCTTCTTATCAAAGTTCACTTCCATTTTCCACTGTCGGGCTGAGTGTAAAATACTATTGATATTGGCCAGCTGGTACAAAACCTTATGAAATTAATCTGTTGTCAATATTTGTGGGGTGACCATTATGACTCTCTCGTTTATTGTTTCAGGAACAATACCAGTTCTCTAAGGACTTGGTTGTTTCTCCACAGGCATCCCTGGGTAAAGCCCTTATCTTCTGCGTCTGGTTTATTGTCCAGTGCCACTTCAGAAACCAGCTGGACAGTCAGGTCTCATTTTAGTTTTCCCTAGTTCCTTCACTTTGTTGCATACATAAAGTCCCCTTCCACACAACTCCTTCCTCTATCAGCCCCTTCACGTCTGTTGAACTCTAGATCCATTACCTGCATCTGCAATGTCTCCTACTTTTGGCTCACCTTCCTTATCTCCATCATCATTCCGTTGTCTCCAGCATCCTTTATCTGGCTGATTTCCTTCTCATCGCTCTAGTCATTTGACTCCAATGTTACCACCAGTCTTCAGTGTTAACCTCCACTAATTTCCTTGTTGCACTTTGTCATCATGTGCTCTAATGTTATTTATTTGAATAATAAAGGAAAACTGGACAGTTTGTTCTTTCTTGCCATTATCAATTCCTAGAATTTGACACTTATGTCTGTAACTTTAGATTTGTATCTTTATGATCCATTTAGTATTTCATTATAATCATTAAACCAGTAGGGGATCCTGCAGCAATATTTAATTTATCCCTGTAGTTTTGGTTCTGAGTTAAGAATGATCAAGGAAATTGAGGAAAGTATCTGGTTGGTCCTTCTATGTAGCATATAATGTTTGATGTGTGTTTCCTTATATTTTCCCAATCTTGGTATAAATTTATGAACATATTGTACACTTTCACCTCTCCCCTTGCATTTTCTGCACTGCCAAATATACAGCAGAACATAAACCACAGGGATTAGCCACGCTAGCCTGTGGCCTAGCATTACTAGCCTGTCTCACACCGCGCTTCATCAACGGCCATCATAGGCCTATGTAAAGCATGTGGGGTGAGTTATGGCAGCTGTAACAGGCAGGCACGAGTGTTTATAATGTGTGTTATGGTGCCAGGCCTCCAGGGGAGAGAATAAAACACTGACTAATGGAGGCGGCAACAGGAAGGAGATACAGCAGCAGCAGATTGTGAAGGTCATTGCTTGGAGTGCCATGCACAAATGGTGGAGCACTCAGTTTTATAAAATCTGTACTAGCTTTGTTACAATCCTTTCTAATGTCATGTTACTTTTTGAGTCTGAATAGGTCTTTTGCGTACATATTGTTTATTCTTTTCCGGAGTGTCTAAATCAAATCACATGATGCATTATAATTAAAAACATTACTTTACAAATGGATGAATATGCGTATTGAAGTATTTTATATGTTTTAATTAGACCACTTCAAGGAAATTGAAAATTTGTTCAATGAAATATTCGAAGATAATAATTTTGGTTATTGACCAGAGGCCACATGTGTCAACCCTATATACAGTTGTACCTCGAGATACGAATGCTTCGAGTTACGAAATGTTCGAGATACAAAAGGTGTGCATCCTCCCGCCCCAACAATCACTAGCCTTTTGATCACACTGCACTCCCCTGTTCACGTTTGATTGGTCTCACACACACCTCAACCATAAGACTACTACAAGACCCATGTGTTTGTCAGCTTGCTGAATGTCTATCAAGTAAGTAAGTAGCCTTTATTTGTCACATACACTGTTACATGTAGTGAAATGAGACCCCTCTGGCCACAAACATAGACAAGGTGAGGACAGGCGAATGTTGAGAGATAGAATTTATGAAAGAAACAGAAAAATGGGTATACATTGGGTAAGGTAGCTCAAAAAAGAGCATATTCCGCACTGTCCTTCAGAGGGGGTAGGGTCAGTGAAGGTACTGGGACCACTGCAGTCTACAGCCAACATTTTCCTGCTGCCATGTTAGATGCTGAACTCATGGCCCAAACTTATGCTTTTCCATTTAATCAACCTTTTAGCAGTTCATTGTCTAGGCTTAAGACCCATCAGCGTTTTTACCAGAATACATACTCCTTAACACTACGTGCCAAGCATTATGTTTACTAGAACTTCGTTCATTCATCTTCTTACCCACTTGTTCCCTTTCAGGGTCACAGGGGTCACATCTCCAGCACACTTCAGACAATTTCTTTTAAATGAATGATGTGTTTTTCAGCAAAGATAAGTCATGTATATCTGAAAATGATAAGCAACATGCAAGGACATAAAAAGAAAATCCACATTCCCACTGGGAATTCCTACATCTGTCATTATCATACAAACACACTGGAAAAACACCCTCCGTCTGCCAATGCTTTGCTCTGCTTGAGTGAGCAGTACGCTAGATGCTCTGCAGCTAATTGCTGGAGTTAAGACAGCAGAACTTACCTGTGCCGATGTGCTACCTGCTCTAATGTGCTGTAAAATCATGCTGTTTCCAGGCATCCTTGTTCGATACTTTGCTTGTCCCATTTTTGAGACAGGGCTGTTGACACAGATACGTTGCTTGCTCTAGAGTATCGCCACTTTGCATAGTGTACATCAGCCTTAATCAGCCCCAGGAGAATGTTTCCCAGTATCCTTTTTGAGCTCCCCTCAAGTGTGGAAGAAACCTGTAAACACCTACAAACTATTTGCAAGTTGCCAGGTTAGCTGTCACTTTGGTTTTCAGCAGGAAAATAAAGTTCAGCTATCGCAGGAGTCTGGTTAAAAGCCACCCAGCATGTGACTTACCCACTGTCAGTGGGAAAACAGTTCACCAAAACAGTTGTGTGTGCATGTGTGAGGTTGTATGAATATGCACCAAAGCTGAAAAGAACACTTTGAAGTGTGAGAGAGCACAAACGATTCACATTATGTATTTGGAGAAAAAAAGCCTGTGTAGGAGACCTCACTGTTTGAGACTTTCTTTTTAAGTCATTTTATGCTGCTCTTTTTTCCCCTTGGTCTCTGGGGGCTGTGTGTGAGGACATTGGCGGTGGATTCGTAAGTCTACAGTAATAGCCAATCACCAAAGCAATTAGCATGAGGCAGTAAAATACTTCAAGAGTTTTAAAAGCAAGCCTGGGGCAACATGCTGTTCCCAGGGCAGCCAAACTCTCCTCCAGAGGCCAATTCAGCAGAGCTAATCCTGCTTCTAATTAAGCCAATTGATGGAGGACAGTTGTTGTATACAGTTTATTTGGATGTTAAAGTGGCACACTGCACTTGCTTTTTAAGCAAGGTTTATTTCCCTCAAGTGTATTAAAAAAAAATCTGTCCCAGACTTTTGCTACCACACCCAAAGCAAAAGGCTTATCTTAGTGTTTTGTAAAAAGTAAAAGTCACTTAGCATGACTTCTATCCACGTGGCTCTTTTTGTTATTAAATGTTACTTTATTAAAAGGGATCTGTTCATGTTAGAAATATATTCCCCAGATGCATAGATTTGAAAGCTTTGTATAATAGTGAAAACCGTGATGCTTGTTGCATTAGCACAATTTTTATATAACAGCACCTTTTCACTCCAGAAACGTGGAAAGAAAAATAACATAAACAAAAAAATGGCTTTCAGAAATGGAAGTGGTGATCATTTCTTTTCTTCAGGTGAAAGTGACATTACAACCAGGTTTGGAGTGTTCCATACTAGGAGTTTGTGCTCTGCATTTAACCCATCCAAGTGCACACACACAGCATTGAACAGACACATCATGAACAATAGCTGCAGTATCTGGGAGCAGTGGAGGAAACTGGTCCATTGCTCACTCCTTCAACTCCCAATTGAGCTGGGGATTGAACCAGCAACCTTCTGATCACCAGTTAGTCTCATTATCCACTCGGACACAACTGGCATCAATGAACAAAATGCAGAGGATGAACAAAAAAAAAAATCTAAATCAAATAAATATTTGGTAAACTTTCACATAGTTTTTGAAGGAACATGTCTGGTGGGTTGTTCCAAACATTGATGACACCCTCTAAGACAGGGGTGTCAAACTCATTTTCACCGAGGGCCACATTAGCATAATGGCTGTACTCAAAGGGCCAGATGTAAAAGAATGTAATCGAATGTAATGTAAAATAAATGTAACTACTCCTTAATGTTAAATAACTCATTATTTATAACTTATTCAAGTGACAATTCAGTTGTATAGAAACAATTGTATGCTTCTTGTTCTAATATAAATCCTTTAGATTTTTGTCAGCTTATGAAAACCCAATCAAACTATCCAAGTGAATAAAGAAAATAGCATTTTTGTCATTTGTTTAGCGAAAAAAAAAATCACAGACTGAAGACGATGCATATCAATCATCATCTTTTATCATCAGGCTCAAGAAACAGATCACAGATAAACTATTCGCTGTGTCCATTTCACATCTTGAAATTTGTTTTAGCGTGAGAAATCGGATGTTGCTATAAGATGTTGAGATCAGGGCTCAGTGGGGACTATACCATCACTTGCAGTAGTTTTTGTTCTTTATGTTGAATATAGTTCTTAATGAAATTGGCAGTTTGTTAGGCTGTATTTTTTTCCAGCTGAAGCATACATTTTTTGGGCAATCATACGCCTCCCTCTAACTCCATTTACCAACATTCCTCCAACTTCCTGCCTGCAGACACTAAATATTTGTATTAATGGAATTCTACAACGGCCCAATATTTCTAATTTCATCTTGACTCTCTTGGTCTTCTTCCCACATTAGATGTGTAGCTTCTGGCTGCAAGTCTTGCATGAAGACCAATTCTGGCCTGACTATTCCAGACCGTTGATGGGTGTACCTGGGTCCCCCTGATTCCTACCACCTACAAAACTGTGTCCATTTCAGTTCATGATTGGGTTTTGAGATATCTGCACACTTATCCGAATTTCCGGATTTCATGCGACAACGCACCTTGAATAAAACCATGGGCGCCAACATGGTGTCAACAAAGAAGAGTTTTGGAATGCAATACCAGATCCGTTTTTCCAAAGAGAACGAACAATTAAAGCTGGCTCGGTGGCGTTCATCACAAATTTTTCATCATGACTTGCACAGGGAACAGGAAAGAAAAAGAGCGCCACAAATCCTCTCTTTCCTCAACTTTTTTTGTCGAACAGCTTCCTGTGATCAACCACCAACAGTATAAGCTGCTCGACATCCCTTTAATTTCTGTGTTCTTTAATTTATTCGTTCTTATTCTCTTTTTCTTTTTTTGTTTCACTCTATTGTACTGCAAATGCCATCTTCAGGCAGGGAGTATCATTGCATCAACATTTCTTCAACCCTGATGAAGACTACCCTGTTGAGAAGCCATCTGAAGATTTGTGGAAATCTCATTTCGGACTGGTGTGTAATTGGCCTTTAATTGTAGATCTCACTGAAGCAATTTCCTGGAAAAGCTCTTCATTACTTGGCAATAAACACAATTCTGAAATGACATTTTCTCACTTTCTGTAGTTCAAGAGTGCTCATTTAGTGCATATGAGGATGGGGACAATTCCATGCAACTCCTATATAAGATCCCTGGCCTTTTGACAATATAGTGGATTTAGTCTAAACAAATAAAAATGGTTTATCTACAATGTTAAATTGCAGATTATAACAAAAATGATCATGGTCTATTATCAAATGTAGCATAATTATTATACATTTGAAACTCTTAGTTAAGCAAGAACTTCTAAAATGTGAACACCTTGAGCCAAGTGCTGAATTATACAAAGGAAGAATGTATTAACCATTGTTGGCCCTCTTTAGATATAAATGTAACAGGAAACAGTCTAATGACACATATGGAACAAACAAGGTCAATCTATCAGCAGATTTGTGTGTCGTTGACAGCTGCAGAGCTGTTGATCTACAAAGGTAGAGATTTTTAATAATGTTTCTCAGGCAGGACCTTTCATTCCCCAGTGATCCTCAGGAGGGAGCATTGCTCAAGGTTGAGGATCTTATCTATTCATGCTGTGCAGCCGGCAGCTCCGACTGAAGCGCTCTCTCCTCTCGTGCTAAGACTTCAAATGGCATTTCTGGCTAGAGTGCATTCTGGCAACAGAGAAAAAGAAAGAGAGTTAGGGGGGAATAGACAGAATAGCTGTTCCTAATGTCATTCTGTGCCTTCTGATGATTTGAAAAGGACCAGGTATTAATTCATATATATGTGATTTTTAGGGAATTTTGCAGAGACGCACTTTAAAGCATCCAAAGGAGAAAGAGAGACATTGCAGCAGATTTGAAGGAACACATTATATGAAGTTCTTGTAATCACTGTAAGTTGAACCCGTCTACTTTCTCTCAATACCCGAGATAGCCAGTGACTATAATTTGGATTAATTCGCAAGTATATAACACTCAGATCTACAGCTGTCAATTATCACATCTGAAAAAGAAAATAATAATCAATGGAAAATATATAAATCAGAATAATGATTGAGAGAGAAGCCCTGAATTCCTCTCAGAGGCCTGAAACATCAATGAAGAGAATGAAACTGTTGACCTCTTCCATCACATCCATCAATACTCAGCCAGCAATAATTCAAAGACGAATCTCTGAGCGCCTCCATGTCCTCCACTCACATGAATATATGTGAGAGACTAATCGGTCACTTCTACAAAGCTGGGCTGTGATTTACTTCCCAGAAGCACTTAAGACATTGTATCTGTCCCACAGGTGCTGATCTATTAAAGGCGTCGGTGCCGCTGATCAAACCGCAGTGGGGATTCTACATCATGTTGAGTGTGTTGTGTGTGTGTGAGACTAGTCAGACAACCATAAAACTAACGTCACCTATTGATTATGCTTTGATCAAACCATGTCAATGAAATCACACAGACGGGGTGAGATTGATTGACCAGACTGGCCATGGCAGAAATGGAGCATTTACAAAGGGTGGAATAGGTCAGCATCAAAGAAACTAAAAGAAATGGAAACGCAAGCGTGGAATTGATTTGTTTCAGGTGGTTACTCTGAAGGTTAAATTCAAAATAGGCCATATTTCTCAGGGATTTAATTTTAAAAAGTGGTTCATCTTATAGAGCTATGTGACCCGATGTGTGTAATGCTCACTGTACATAGCAACTGAGCCAGTATTAGAAAGAAAATTATATATAGTGTAGTAATGTTTTTCTTTTTTAACTTTGTACCATTCTTGAACGGTATACAATTATATGTTAAAAACAATATAGTTTTAAAGAAAATCCAATTTTCTTACATATTTCGGTCTTCAGAACAATGTGTCAACAAAATGTCAGTTGCTCTCCAAATGCACTACGAAGCAGTGGCTGGAGTTATACAGGCATGTAAAATAACTATTGGTAAAAAGCATTGCTATATTTTATTGATACAATAATATACTATGTATTAAATACTCAGTAACAACCAACATCTCATTTGTGAATGCATTGTGGAAGAAAATAACACTACTTACCGATCTAGCAAGGGCCACATTGGACCCATTGTTGAGAAACACCATTAGCATCTAAAATCCAGCATCAAATTGTAAATTTTTTAAATGGAATCTGCTGTAAAATGAACACTCTTGTACATTATTAAATGAACAGTTACCCCTTGGTATTCAATGGTTTCTGCTTGTTAGCTACACTAACTTCCCCTGTCCAACAACCATGAAAACTAAGGCAATCACCATGAAGACGATGTTTTGTAATGGTACTAAAAACACCATTACATGACAATTTTTTTAATACACATATTTCCAGAGCTTGCTTTATCTAGATTTTATGCTAGATTTAGCATATATTGGCACAATAAGTTCTGAAATTCATTTATTCATTCATTCGTTTTCCAACCCGCTTATTCCCTTTTTCGTGGTCACGGGGGTCTGCCGGTGCCTATCTCCAGCGTTCATAGGGTGAGTGGCGGGGGTACACCATAGACAGGTTGCCAGTCCATCGCAGGGCATGCTGCGCGTCGAAAAATAATAAATCTGGTTTCCCCAAATTAGTGCTAAGGAAAACAAAAAGCATTTTTTTCAAGCTCAACTAGTTTTTATATTTAAGCATTTACCCATATTCCATTGGTTAATTGTGCAATGCAAGAACCAAAAACAAGTAAAACAACAATAGCTCTTCTTCTTCTTTGTCTCTCGGCGGAGGCAGTCACGAGTGGGCACATTTACAGCTACAAAAAATGTTGGCTACTGATGAAGGCAGTACCACCAACTTCCACTGACACTACTCCCAAGCAGCAATGTTTTTTCCTGCATTATGTCTATATGTGCTGGGTCGCAATGGCTTTTTTTAACCCCTGCTCCACACTGCCCTCTGCGATGGACAGGGTGAAGAGGGCACTTTTTTAAGCTACCTTTACCATTGTATACCCATTTCTCTGTTTTCCTTTTAGATGGCGCCTGTGGGTGCCAGCCCTGGTCAGATTCTCTCCAGCTTCTTTGTTTTTGTTCAATTGTCATTTAATGTACCTACTGGAGAGCATCCCTTGTACCACAACAAATTCCTTGTGTGTGTATGTGTGCACTTGGCAGTAAACATCTTTCTGATTCTGACAATGCTATGTGAGGTAAATAACAGCAATGCATTGCATCAATGTGTTGAATCCCAATCTTCCCTTTTTATTTGGAAATATTGAAGTGAACTGGCAACTGGACTGAGGTCTACCTTGAAAATGAGGGTTTTCTTTTCTCCAACTGTGTTCTAATAAATCACCCAAAGATAGACTGCTATAACAGGGCCAGTTTTGTTTTCATGTTGACTTCACATTTCCAACATGAATCTCCCATGCAGTGAAGCTTCAGCAGCATCATTAAACTTGAAATGTCTTTGCAAACACTATTAACAGCAGTCTGTTTGGATCTAGCTGATAGAGACCACTGTCTCTTTTTCAAACCAAATCACAGA